TCATTTCTCTGACTTGGTTTATTATAAAGGCAGAAGTCAACCAGAAGTTCAGCCCTAGATTACCACATATAAGGAACTACTTGGAGCAAACTTTTCTCCTTTCATCTGAGGAGGCTGCCATCTAGCACAGGTGGATCTTAAGACAGACGCAGAGCAACTACCTACTAGCAAGAGTAAGTTGAACAAGATTGGGAAAGATTTTTTTTAATGACTTGCACTTCTCTTCTGTAGAGACTGTTGGAGCATCCCAGAGGATGAAGAAAAAAAAAATTAGGAGGCTAAATACCAACAGTGACTAAAGCAAGGGCTCCCATAATGTAGGCTAAAATGAGGCCTGCCCCTTTGAAATGGCCCTCCAGGAACAAAACTTTGGGGATCCCCGTCCTCAAATGTCACTGATCCATTTCTAAATACGGCTTATCAAATCACTGATTCATTATGAAAGCCTTTATGAGCCAAGGTAGGGCATCCTGAACACCTAAGAATGACAGCCTCATTTGATATCCAGCATGCAGTACAGAAATACAGGTTGCTACATAAAATTTTTAGTTGAGGCTAGAAGGCCACACTTTCCTCACATTGTAACTCAAGTACTGTATCAGCCTGGAAATTCTACTTTTTCCAAGCGTTTATCACCTGGCAATCTTGAATTTGGCTGAGCAAGTATCACAGTAGTTAATCTCTTGACAAAAGGATAAGCAGTTTGAGAATCTACAAATCCTATACTTTATTGTTTATATTTAGACAGAAAAACTGTCCCACCTCACTGACCTTACAAACCAAGTTGACAGAATGCAATTTGGACCATGAGATACCCTGAGGGAGATTCATTTTAGGAGTCTTACTTTTGTTTATTTTTATACAAAGTAGCTGACAATATTCTCATCTGAAAGGGGCTAGGAGATTATATCCCCAGAGGTAAACATATTGGGTTCAGGATTTAAAAAATAATTTGCATAGCTATCAGTAAAGATGTTGCTGATCTCCCAAGGGGTATTATAAAAATGATCAAAGTGGGTTTTTTTTGAACTGGGAAATATTAACAACCAGGATTAAATATTTTAAGGATTAAAGTTTTTCAGAAAAATGTAGAAGAGAGTTGGGATAACTAAGGAGTCTATATTTGAAGTAGGCTATTCTTTCTGAGGGTTAAACTGTCTCTTTACTCATGTACTTTATACAGTAGAATCCATAAGGGACAGGCTAGAAGAAAAATAAAAATGTGAAAGATGTAAAATGTCAAACTTATGGAGTAATTCATTTTGTACAGAATATGAATCTAATGAGTAGACTGGAGGAAGAGATGAACTATCATTTAAATGTTCTTACCCTCAAAAGGTAAATATATTTAATTCTGCCACAATTTTTATATACATAATTTTACAGCACAGGAAAACAAGATTACTTGCCCTTTTGCCTTGAGTGGGAGCCTATCATTTCCTTCAAAGCTTGTCCCTTTATTTCAGAGTAGTAAGTTTGCTATTGGAGGAAAGTTTTCACTTCCAAAGGAACTTAAGTCTGAAGTTATGAAAATACCAGCTCTCTTAAGACAGCTTTCCCAGCTCCAAACCAGGGGATTGGGAAGTTGTTCAAGAATGGAAGAACACAAACAAACAACAATAAAAGGCCCCCAACACATGGTTTTAAAGTATCACCATTCCCTAAGAAACCTGACAGTCCCTTTACTAATAAGAAGTCTTATAATTCTATTATCCTGATTAAGTGTTCAGTCTACCAACTGAGCCACCATGCTAAATTATAAATGGCTGAAAAGAGCCACTTCACATCTAAGAGTAAAAGAAGCTGTTTTACTCCTAGAGCTGGTCAGAATGGCTTTCCACCTTTTAGCTAGCTCCAAGATGGCCAACTTCTGCTCCAAGTCTGCTGTCTTTACCTGCAGGGTGAGCTCTGGCCACATCTACATGAGACACTGAATGTACAGTTGTTACTGTGTAGTTATTTAGTGCTTGTATAAACAAGCATAAATCAGTACTAAATGACTGCACAGTAACTGTGCAGTAACTTGGGTTACAGTAACTTGGGTTACTGTGCAGTAGCGCCAACGAATGTCATTGTGACTCTACTATGCAGTAGCCTAATACTACATGCAGTAGCACTGCCGTCACAGTTGTTGCCACGTGATGCTACTGCACAATCAGTGTCTCATATAGACACGGCCTCTGAGAAGTTGCATCAAATCTCCCTTCATTACCACCACAGTAAGTTGCAAGCGACTCCCATAAAGGAAGTGGAATTACACCTGCATGAAATTAGAGGGTAGCTGGACATAGTATTTGCACGTTGCTGTGGAAAGTATCACTTAGAATCAGTCAAGTGGATCTGAGGGGAGAAATCAACCTTCATTTGCTGCTTTCAGAGAAGAGGTTAGTATTGGGGTGACTAATAATTTAGTGAAAGCTTCTTCCAAAGACATGCAAACCCATCCAATTTGTTGAACTGGCTGCTAACACCTCTAAGGCCAACTTATTTTTGTAGAGATTATTATGAAATTTATCAAGAATCTGCCATTTTCTGCAGCTTCAATTTCTCTGGCACCAGTGTTTGACTTTGCCATTTAGAGAACGCCAATAAAAACTTCTCAGCACAACAACATACATACTTCTCAAAAGGGAAGTATTTCAACTAAAAATCTTTGTGTGTACTTACTGAGATTGTACCATTGTCTAGACCTATGGACAGCCTTCTGGTTTCCGGGTTAAAAGACATGCATGAACATGGAGCTGAAAAAAATGAACATGTTGATGACGTTAACAAAACCATGATTCTCACTGAAGTTCTGGAGAGCCTAGCTAACTAATATACTTATGATGCTATATTTTCTACTTTACCCCTTGACAGAGACGCTCAAAATTAGGTTTCCTGTAGTAACAGGATTGGATGCACAGCATATCAGGAAATCAATCAATACCTCAGTTCTTCCTTATGTAATGATCTTGCTTCTTTCTTAAAAAAAACAAATTAAGCAGGGAACTTATATAAAAGAGCAGCTTTGGTGTCAGACCCCTCTAATACTGAAAAGACATTTCAGTTTTAATGCCTTTGTAGATTTAAAGAAAATGACTAGTGACATTTTTTCCATTCTTTTGGATTTTCACTTGCAATAAACCATAATACATTATTATTTCCAAGGCATGCATCCCATCTACAGATCTCCTGAAGAAGGAAACAACTCACCCATACTGAGTTTCAACACTAGGAGAGATTGCCATAGCAGTAATTCCATTATGGGCAATAATTTTCATTAGAATTACAAAACGTAACTCATGACCAGAAGCAGTTATCAAGGTAGTATTCTGTTCAGTATCTAGGACCCCTTACTTCAGCCATAGCACTATAAACTTCTCAGTACATACTCTTAAATTTCCTTTATAAAAATACAAATCTTACGCTCCTATGAGAATCTGGCAATGTTAACACATTTATGTACAAGCAATTTGCTATTGAGAATCAGAGTAATGCTTGGACTCTATTTATGAAACAGCTTTCTTAATCCAGTCTAGGTTTGCAGTGACAGTTTTTACATCTCACTACTGTAGCACAAAGCTTCTTGTTCTCAGTCAAGTTCTTACAGAAGAGATGCAAGACATGGCAATTGGCAAATCACAGCAGGAGGGGCAAGGAATTATTGCTTCTTTTGGATTTCACCATCAATGCTTGAAATAAAATATGAAATCTGGATATGAACAACATTCTTAGTTCTGCTTTTTCACAGTTCCTATTTCTTGTAACCTTCCCCACTACTAGCTAGGTATTAGCACTTGCTTTTGCAACACTGCATGGCCTGAATTAATATCTTCAACTTGTCTTCTCCAACATGACTTCATATCTAAATTTCAAACTCTTATCCTAACATTCAGAAACCCAATGGATCCTGAAAAAGCCTGAGGTTAAAAAAAAACAAACCCTGAAAACAAAAATACTCTGTCAGCATTAATGACCCTGCTATTTGACGTTATTAAAAGGGAAAGTGTGAAGAACATGGTTGCCTTTTCAGGTTTCTCATTTAAATGCACTGAATTTAACCAATTTGGTTCCAGTTTTTACTGAGAAGAAAGTGAAACTTCTGGGGCTGATGCAGTGGCACTCTTTTATGACTAGGCTTTTAAAACTGCAGGGGAGAGCTTAAGTTTTTTTAAAAGGAATAAATGATTCTCGTTTTAAAAAGCTTCATGAAAACATTACTAGTCAGACAATGTTACATAAAAAATTCTATTTTACAAATAAAAAAAAATCAAATAAGAACTGCCTACATTCCAGGTCTAAAGTCTACCTTTCTTCTAAATGTACCAAGTACCACCCATCTGATGAAAGAATCCTCATTACCAGAACCAATACTATTAACAGGTTGAAATCTCAGCTTTTCAGAATCACTGCTAGTGAGATGATGCAACACAAATTAACTTTAAGTCTTCCAGGAAGAGACTAAGGGTGAGATTACATGTTACAATTAAACCAGGTTAAGAACGCTTAGAATTTGAACAATTCCTTGCAGCAAGGCTCATTAACAAATGCCTTCTTGGCATCTTAAAGTTAAACTACTTTGGGGGAAAATTATCTTTGAGCTGTGCCATCTAGTTTAAGTTAACCACTGAGATAAAACCACTCATTGGTGGTCCTCCAGTATCCCAGGAATCACTTCTCCCAGGAGGACTATCTATCTATCAGCTAGGATTATAGCCCTGGACTGACAGCTGGGGGCAGCAGGTTGGGGGG